CAAGTCGTGAGCTATGCCAGTGTAAGCTCTTCCTTTAACACCCCTAAATCACTTCCCTGATCTGGGACTAAGCCAATTTCAGCTGTGGACCTCAAAGTATACCGGGTTGTCTCTTTGAGGTCAAATTCTCAAGAAAGTAACAAACCTTACCTTGAGAAAGGCAAGATGAAACTATTTCCCTTGGGACTAGAGGCTGGCATAAATCTTTCCCAATGGGTAAAAAATATACTTAATACTACCTTGACAAGAAACATTCCATACAACGCCTCTTAACTCCAGTGCTTTCTCTTTTATTTTCTTCCTCTTTATCCTGTACATAGCGTGCTTTGTATATATTTGTTTGCACATTGTCTCCCCCGTTAGATTGTAAGCTTCTTGAGGGCAGGGACTCTATTTTCTCTCTATCTGTATCCCTTAGCGTTTAGCACAATGTCTGGCACACAGCAGGTGTTTAATGCAGTTTGTCCTTCATTTATGAAAAGGACCACTGACATCAAGGGGTGATGTCTTGACTTGTGAGTTGGATTTAAGTGAAGCAGAGCTGCACAAAGTTGTCAGCCTCACTCTCAAGTCCAGTGGCAAGACAAAAGTCAGGATGACTGGTGATAGCCCAGGATGCAGTGTGAGAGAAATTATCATTAAATAAGTAATTGTTAATATTGGGGAGACATAGGATTTATCCCTCTCTGAAAACTTATTCTCTACTAGGCCAAACCAGCCTGCAGATAAAGAGACTGGATTAATTTTCTCCTTAATCGTGTTCAGACCCCACCCAGGCAAGGAAGCCCTACTCAGGAAGTTCTACTCAGGATTGGGTGGGGATAAATTCTTTGATTAGATTGCCCAAGGCAGGGGGTAGTTTGGAAGTAAATGACATAATCAAAGTCATATTCCCCCAGCCCCTCATTAGAATACCACTCATTATAATATTCACCTTTCATTATAATATTCATTCTTCTTATTAATTGTTAACCAACCACAGTTCATTTACACCCTCAGGAACACCCAATCTTCCAAGGGCACATAAGCATTGAGTGGGTTCCATGATTTTAGTCTAAGAAAGATGGCCAAATGACCATCTTTTTATTGATAATATGCTAGCAGTATTAATAAAATGATTAATTATCCAGAAACTATGTCTCTCGAACTTTTTACATGTCACAAGTGGATAACCTTTGTGTCTCTGAGGTCTGACCAAGCTCTAAGCGCTCCACAGCACCTGCTTCAGCTGCCTTCATAGCTGTCAAAATAAATTTTTCATCTGCCCATTCAGGCATTTAATAAATGTTTATTGATTGATACTTCAAGGGATTTTCGGATTTGCATGGCAGCTTTGGAACTTCTGCTGCTGTGTTAATAAACATTCATTAAGTGCCTTCTACTTGCCAAGCACGGTGCTAACAGCTGAAGGTGCAAAGAGACAAAAGATAGACTCTGACCTTCAAGAAGCTTAAAATCAAACAAATATATACAAAAAAGTTATATGACGGATAATTAGGAAATAATCAACAGAGGGAAGGCACTGGACTAAAGAGGGATTAGGGAAGGGTTCTCACAAAAGATGGGATTTTAGTTGGGACTTAAGGGAAGCCAGAGAGGTCAGTAGCCAAGAGTAGAGGAGGGAGAGCATTCCAGGCATGGGGGGACAGCTGGAAAAAATCTCTGGAGCAGAGAGATGGAGTGTCTTGTTGGTGGAAAAACCAGAAGGCTGGGGTCACTGGATCAAAAAAGATCCTTTTGACTCAGAATTATCAGGGAAAAATGTTTCCCAGAAACAGATGGCTTCATGTAGTATATTGCCAAATTCAAGAAGATGGAATGAGATTCTAGCTGTCTACATGGGCATTAACATGCAAGCCTTGAATCTTTTGCCCTTCTGATTATACAGTTATATTTAATGTCCACTGACTCTTAGAATGTCCTGATATTTTTGAAAGGGTACTTGGGTGAGAGATTTAAGACAAAACTAGAAGTCTAAATCTAGGTGGTCTTTGTAAAATTATTGATAATAATGTCTCAGTTTGTGGCTACGAGTATCCTGGGTGTTAAAATTTGTACTCTTGAGATCTAAGTACCCATCTGTAAGTGTGGATACCTTTGCCAGTTACTACTGTTTAAAACAACAGCTCCAGAAACTATGTGGGTAAAAAATTGATTTTTAAAAAAGAATTTATCACCAGCCTTCATTCGTGCTAACAGGTTTGTTTTATTTTTACTGTCTTTTTTATTTCTTTTCCAATTTATTACAGTATAGTTGATTTGATGCTTGCTATCTACAGGTAGGTGAGGAGGTGGATAAAGCGCTGGGCCTGGAGTTAGGTAGATCTGAATTCAAATCCAGTCTCAGACACTTACGAGCTATTGCTATGCTGTTATTATGTGAACTGATAGAAGAAGAAATACAGTTTTGGGATTTGCAAGAAAACACGCTCAGTCAGTTAAAAGAAAAAAGAACAGGAAAGTAAAACAGTAGGCCAGTTTACACTGACACAGAGGCTTGAACTTCAGATAAAAGACAATGAGACATGGATAAAAATGTTCTTCAAAGCAGAACATTTTAAAATCAATTTCTGATTCATAGAACAGAAATTCCCTTAAGCAGGGACCAATACAAGGCCCTCATTTTTTTTTTTTTGCCAGAATTTAGGCCAACTTAAAAAAAATGGCAAAAAACAATAAGCCCATGTTTGTTGTAGGTGGCAATGCTTATTTAAGGAAGTTTTTCAGACTTTACTGAAAAAAGAAGAGAATAGTTGAGACGGTTGAGATTACTATGTCTATGGAGCTATGAATTATCCTTGGAGAAATGCTGGTTTCCTCCCTCAGGGAGCTGAAGTTAATTTTGAGATTTCTCATGATTTCCAAGTTTAATTTCACATATACTAGTATTTTCATGAATCTGGAAAAATAGCTGTAATTATGGAGCAACATTCAGAACTGAACAATTTAAAATTTGAATTTTTACAGAGTTTGATAAATTAGGGGCAATTATTTTTTGTTTATTTACAGCTGATCTGTGGTCTGGATAGTAATTGCTGATGCCACATATTGTAGCTACAAGATTAAAAGTGCTAACTACTCTTTAACGATTTCTGAATGTAATGAACATAGAATACTAAAAGCAGAACCCAGATGCATGGAATGTATTTTCCACATAGATGATTCAAAATGCATTTAACTGAATTAATATTGTATCTGTCAATTTGTTTTTGTTTTACATATTAAGTTAATGAGATTATTTTATATTAGTGCTGTTTTTAAGTTTCTTACATTTCAATTTTGGAAAATATTCTAGAAGTATTTTAAAATTTGGGGGACTATCTAGAGCTTCATGCATTTGTAATGTGAGAAGGTGAGATCCTTTTTTATCTGAGTGCTGACTGATTAATGAACTAGAAGAATGACGTATTAATGACATTGGTCTGGAAGACAGCATTTTTTGGTTAGAGACAAATGTGCATGCTCTGGTATTCAGAGTTATTTTGGGTTTGGCAAACACTGCAGCAGATTTTGGGAAGTAGGAAATTATATCGGCATAATTTGAAAGCATTTCACAAGAAGTCTGAATATTTTGAATATAAATGAAATAGGAATATTGTCTATACTGAATTTAAATGAAAAATTTTGGGATTTGTAGAACTCTAAATCATACTGCTATGCCCTATTCAAATGACTTCCATCTTATCTTTGGTATTGTTAAACTTGCATCAATTGATGTTTATAACAGGTCCCAGCAAAGTCCCAGTCAACTGCCTGCCAGACCCTTCCTGAGTGAAGAGGAGACTGGTTTTATAAGAGAAAAAAAATCAATCGAAAAATTCAGACGACGAATAAACTTTGGCACCTTTGTTTCCACAGACTGTGTGAAGTCTAAAGGGATTTTTCAGAAGTACAACCCAAGGCTGTCCTGGAACCTGCCAGGCAATTTAGAAAAAGGAGACCGAGGCTTTTCTCTAACCCTTCAGAACAATTATTACTTTAATCTTATTTCTTTTTCAGTTTCAATTAGCTATTCTAGAAGATATTGCTATTCGATAAGACCAGCTCATTTGAACCTAAAGTACCCCTTCATTATCTTGTTCCTGTACTTGGCATAATACAAATATACAAAAAGCAAAGGTGAAGATGGTGTTAACTGGTTTTACTGCAGTCTAAAAAATAACAATAAAAAATATTTTACTTCAAGTGAGAATTTTACATATATAGTTTTCCACATATATATATATATATATATATATATATATATATATATATATGTAAATTTTTCATTTGAACTAAAAAAAGGTTTTAATATGCTCCCTCAAGAATAAACATGAATGATGGTGATAGGTGGGGGCACAATTTGGGGACAGGTAGGAAAACATCTACAAATATTCTTCTTTTAGCTTACCGCTTTATATTGATAGACATTTCTAGTCTGGAAGTAGACATCTCATATGCTCCCACATTATTCCCCCCTCACTCTACCCTCCTCCCACTATGCTTTCGGCTCACACTATTTCTTAATCTTGAATAGCCCACCCCCTCATTTTCATCTAATAAAATCTTACCCACATATTGAGGGCCAAGGCAAATGCTATCTCCTCCGTGAAGCCTGCTCTGATTCCTCAGTTAGTAACATCTTTTTTGCTTGGCTATCACAAAGTACTCAGTTTGTACTTCTCATGAAATTTCCATTTTCTGTATAATTATTTGTGCATGTGTTCTATCTTTAGGAAGCTGTGACTTCATGAGGTGAAGGCCCTTGTCTCATTTAATCTTTCCATCTCTCTCGGTGTTTAGTGCAATTATTTACGTCATAGGAAATAAATAAATGTTTTTGGTCTACAGCACTACCTACCTGCCAAGGGTCATACTAAGTTTATTCTTTAGGACAGAGTGGACAAGGGACTGGAATCTTCTTCTCTGGAAGTATTATAGAATTTGTATAGTTCCTTTGGAAAAGAAACATACCACAACGTGCAGGTATAAACATTTGTGTATGGTGCATATTTTCTTACCTGCTCAATGCATTCTTTGGATAATGGTGGAGAGGGAAATGAAGCAAAAACCAGGATACCGATGTAGAGGTATGTTAACATCACCAGGAAATAAGCAATGGACAGATCCCTTACCTGCAAACACAGGATTTGGTATATTTACTCTGTTAAACCCAGGCGAAGGTCATTTTGAATAAGATGAAAATAACATTACAAGTAAGTACCAAATGAGTCTCCCTCATTTTTCTTCTTTTAACAGTCCTCACTCAGTTTGCCAATTGCATAATCAATTATAGCTACATAAAACAGATGCCACAAAAGGGAATTAAAGCGATAATGCACTTGCTGATGCATCACCTTACCCTGAAAGAATGTCCACAAAATTAAAATTCTTTACCACTGGCCTCCATACCCTTCTTACCAATCATGCATATGGGTTTCTCTACCCATATACCTATAAGGAAAATATCTCTTCCCGACCACCACTCCCCTAATATGTGTAGTCTCACCCACTACTATATGATCTCTTTGAGGTCACGGGCCGTCTTTGCTTTTGAATATGTAAATCCCAGTACTTAGCAAAATGCTTCACACTTAGCACCATGCTAAATAAGTGTTTTTTTCATTAAGTTAGGAAATTAATGTCTAATACTACAGAAGCTCTGAATTATTTTATTTAATAAGAAAATCAACAGAGACTACATTAATAAACTGAATCAACAAATAATTACATAAGTAAATGAACTCATTCTACAAATCTTCAAAGCAAATCACAATAAAAAAGGAATGGGATGTGTTATAATTAATAAAGGAGGGAGACTCGCCAAAATATCAGACAGTAAGTATTATAGACATGTTTATTAAACCTAAACAACAAACAAAATGAAATCAAGGGGCAGCTGTTCAAACAGATGTGCAATGTTATTGTTGGATTCAGTAAACATATACAGAACATTAAATAAAAGGGATTGCCTCCATCTGTTGCTGCCCTCACTCTCTCGGCCCCATGTGAGTAAAAAGCTTCAAGACGTTGAATTCAGCCATCTGTTGGAGCCAAGCTGCAGAACTCTACGTCGGACGAATCTGCGATCTATCAGCCCTAAAAAGTTACAGCCAAACACTTCAGCACGACTAAATTATGGCAACGATCCTATTCTCTCTGAACATAAATAATTCTGAAAGCTAAGGAAACAGATTAAAGAACCAATATGTATATTATCACTTTAATTTCCTTTCCTTCAATCTACTTCATATTGCCCTAGTTGACAGAGGAACAAGAAATCCATCCTAAAGTCTGGAATGCTGGGAAGAGAACTCTGGCCTAGGGGACACGGCAGTGAAAGGCACCCTCATGGCTGGATATGGCAACATAAGGAACATTCTCATGGCAGGTCAGATCATACAAAGCAACACTCATGCTTTGAAGGGGGAGGGAGTGATGTTAGGATGAGCACTTAGCAATGGCTGCTCTCCCAGACCCGCAGATATCAGATCATATGGGCAGCCAGAGAGCATCTCAATCACCACTGAGGAGGTTCAGGGTGGCAGGGGTACCTCCTTTCACAAAACAGGGACCAAGTCTTTGTAAAGGTGAGTCTTGCAACATTCGATGGATGTGAATTCAGTTTTGAGCATTAGGAATATACGGCCTGTGGCAAAGGCTGTGGGAATTGGTTGGCTCTGGCAGTACAATCACAACATTCTCACTCATGGAGATAGGTAGGCTGGTCTGGTTATATCCCTATTCCCGGGTTATATTTGGGACCCCAGGTAAAACAGGAGTGAGTCTCAGGCTACCTTGGCTCTCCCATGTCAACACTGTTAGTGGTAGGATCAAAGAGGAACACAGCCAGTCTATCTGGCTGCCCTGAACCAGCCACGTGCCCTCGGTAAATTTATTGTAGACAGGTGCAGTCAAAACTTCCTCAAACTAACAAAATGTAGTTATATTCTAAGACAAAACTTGGCTTAGAGTCCTAAAGGAGGTGGCATCAACTTCTATGATTCCTCGCCTTACCCAAGCCAGTGAAACCAGTAGCTGGAAATGTAAAATCACAATTAGGTGTCAACTGTTCCTGTGAGCTACTGAAGAAAAACCTTCCGATGTCCAATAGGTGGTTATTTCCTGTGAAGTAGGGGTGGCCCACCAGGCAGCCTGTCCCAGCTGAAGGGTTATTATAAAAGCCACTTTGGCCAGGGCTATAAAGAGTTCTGGAGAGGACTCCCAAGGACTGTAGTTTCTATTGCATCAGCAACACCAGCAGGTCTTCAATCTATTCAGGGAACAAACTTCAAGGGCTCATTGTGCTATCAGGGTTTAGGAAGCTGACTAGCTATTTCCAGAGCCACTCCAGGCCTTGAAGACTTCTTGGAGCCAGCTGGGCTCCAAACTGATGAAGTGCAGAGTTCAGAAGAATGCTCGCTTGAGGTTGGGGATATTGGTTTTGCTCCATAGTGGGATCAGAGATGTGGCTGCTGATGACTGGGGATAATAAATAGACCTTGAGGTGGGGGGTCTACTCCTAAGGAGAAACGGCATGGTACAAACTGAACTCCTTTTAAAGAAAAAGAAATATTTTGTTTTAATCAGCAAAAATATGTCTTCTCACACTCCCTTCTTTCCAATTAAGAATGAAAGAAAAACAAAACCCATTACCAACATATACAGTCAATCAAAACAAATTTTCATATTGACCATGTCCAGAAAAATATTGTCTGCACTCTGAATCTGTTACTTCTCTCTCAGGAGGTGGGTAGAACGTTTCCTCATTAGTCCTTTGGAATCATGCTTGGCTGTCACTATATAAATTGTTCTCCTGATCCTGTTCGCCCTGCATCAGTTCATACAAGACTTCATAGGTTTCTCTGAAATCCTTTCCTTTATCATTTCTGACAATGCAAAAGTATTCCATTACATTTGTATACTTACATTTATACTTGTTAATTCCCCAATTTGAGTGCATTCTCCAGGATTCCCATTATTTGCCAGTTCAAAAAGAACTATAAATATTTTTATATATCCTTAAAGTTTGTTTGGCTTAGGACTGATCTCTCCCTCAAGCTATCCTTCCTCTAATTCTCCCTTCTCCTCCTCTCTTTTCCCTCCTTTTTTTTTGTTTTCATTTGCAGTGTTGTAGAGTGTGTACACACACACACACACACAGAGGTTTTACTTTATTCACTCTGCAACAATTCCTATATCTACCTACGTTTCTCTGAATTCTCCATATTCATAAATTTCTTACAGTGAAGCAACATTCTTTTAAAAACTATTTTTTCAATCAGCAAAAATCCACCTTCTCTCCTTCCCATCCCTTACTGAGAACAAAAGAATGACATAACCCCAGTTATAAATATGTATAGCCAAGCAAAGCAAATTTCCACACTGCCTACATTAAAAACAAACAAGCAAAAAACAAAACCCAACTCTCATTTTGCATCACGAGTCCTTCACTCCTCTATCAAGAGGTGAATAGCATGTTTCACTATTAGTCCTCTGAAGTCATACTTGCTGATTCATGTTCCTAATTCTTTCAGAGTTGTTTGTCTTTACCACACTGATCTCATGGCACAAACTTTTCCTACTTCTAGACCATACAAATCCTGACAGGCTTCTCTGAAACCATCCCCTTCATCGTTTCTTTTAGCACAATATACACCATCACATCTACATGGCACAACTTATTCTGCCATTCCCCAATTCCACCTCCTCAGATTCCCATTCATTGCCACGCCGCAAGGGGCATAAAATTGAAAATTGATTTTAATTCTATTTTTAAGACTTAAGCTGCTATGGGTTTAATACTCTCCCACAACAGGTAAATCCAAACTCCTTTGTAACTTGACTCTTTAACTCCATTCAGGACTCAATTCTATTGTGAAATGAATCTCCACACTTGTATTGTCTACCTTTGTAACCTCATTCATCACCTACTTACCCCACATTCAAGTTCTTTTGTAACCTCAACCATCACTTGCTTAACTCAAATCCAAGTGGATTAATCAGAGCAGGTTGCAAACTATACTCACATCTGTAGAGTAAGCCTATCCTAATGACTCCCAGCTCCCAGGGAGGAGGTAATGGGGGGAGCTGAGGCCACTCTTAACCTACCTCCTCATTAAAATTTCTACCAATTGGGAGTATGATGTAATGTCAGGTCAATCAGAAGAAGATAACTCTTACAATGCTAGAGATTTTGCTCTGCTGTCTCGTTTATTGTTGTGAAAGTTCTCGTCAGCCCTCACGATCTTTGGTCACTGAGAGAGGCTACTGACCCAATTTATTGGTTACTACTAGCCTAATTAATAAATTGATCTTGCTTGGAATCTTGTCCCTCAGTTTAATTTACTGTGACACAGGCTATAAATATTTTTGAACATCCTTAGTTTCTTTTGTTCCTTAATTTATCCTCTCTCTAATTCCTCCTTCTCATTCCTCTTTTTTCCCTCCTCTTTCCCTACTAAGTAAAATATATTTCCTTTGACCAGTTTAGAGAGAAAAGTTCAAGTGTCAACTACTCCCCCAATCCCCTCCCTCTGTTTATAAATAGATGTCTACTTACACACCCAAATTATGAGATAATTTTTTTCCCAAACCTTCTCACTTCTCCCCTTCCCCTCTTTCTATTCTTTTCTCATTATTAAGACGACACAACAAAAACACTCTCAGACCTTATCTAATTAGGTTCCCTATATAACCCCTGATGATACAGTTCAGATGGGACACGTATTATCTCCCTATATCTGAATGTAAGCAGTTTACCCTTTTTCAATCTTTTATCATTCACATTTAAATTTTCATGTTTCTCTTCACCCCTGTATTTGATCTTCAGAGTTTCTCTGTAGTTCTGGTTTTTTCATGCTTAGAGTCCTCTGTTTCACTAAAGGTTCCCTTTCCCCCCTGTAGCATTATACTCAAGTTTTGCTGAGTAAGTTATTCTTGGCCACCATAAATAAAATATAATTTTTAAAAATAATATTACTTCACTGTAAGAAATTTATGAAAATGAAGAACTCAGAAAAACATGGGTAGACATAAGGAACTATGGCAGAGTGAATAAAGTCAAGGATATGCTTACAGTGTACTCACTCTCTCCATAAATATATAAAAAACTTACCCAGTAAAACTCAAGAAA